AAAACCAAAAAAAAAAAAAAAAAAGAACCAAACCGATAAAATTGAAACCAATAAAAATTATACTATATTGGTTTGGTTTGAATATTGAAAAAATCGATTTCGCTAGTTTGGTTTAGTTTTAAGCAAAAACCAAGCGAAACCTAACCATAAACACTCCTATTAAACCCCTAGTAATAGGTATCTCCTTTTAACTATCTCCTTTCAAGGTTACACGTGTTGATCCAAAACTGACAAAACACTTAACCTAGGGGTGTTATTTTCACTATTGCAAAAATGTATTGCCAAATAAGTATATAACAAGATGTAGACAACATGATAAGCAACGGGAAATAATATAGGCCATCGTCTTACACTTTCACTAGGAAAAAGAAAGTTGAACATAATAGCAACTGTAGTTATTTGCGGACAAAAAGAACATCAGATCACCTGTCAAAAACTTCAAGCCTCTCCATACCGTCCAGAAAATATCTTAGTCAAGAAATGCTTGAGCTCATAATAAATAAAAACTCCGATACACATTAGGTAAAAGTCACAAAAAAAGGTAAACAGCAAATTGAATTTCTTGAACCAAAATGCCGAGGATGCAAGACTCCGGTATAAGCCACTGCACGACTCTAAGTGACTAAACGCATTCACTGCCTAGAAGCCGGCCAACTGGTCCTCGAGCCACTACCAAATGAAGACGGCTTTCGTTCATCGCGCCATGATGGTCGATCATCTGGCTTACTTCCACCGCCCCACTTGTCAGTTTCAGGAGGTGGAGCCTGGCCTGCACCATCCATTTTCGCTCGTAAGTGCCTAGGAACATATTTCCCAGGGCCAGGAGTAGGTGCAGTAGCTGCTGCAGCAGGAATTGGAGCAGCTCCACCAAGTTCTGCGGGACGCCCCAAGGTTGGAGGCTCAGCACGCTTTGGCAGCACAGCAGTGGACTTACGCAAGATCTCTTCTCTCTCCCGTTTTTCTTTCTCTTCAAGTTCTAGCATTCGTCGCCTCTGCTTTTCTGCAATCTCATCTAACTTGGCTTGCCGCTCAGCTTCCTCTTTCTTCCGTCTCTCTGCCTCTGCAAAATTTACAGAAAGTTGCCATATGATGCTAAATTAATTTTGAGTAGCTACTGAACCTCAACTGCAGGCAGGGGGGTAAAAAGAAAGGAGCAAGAAAGGGAAAAAGAACTTAAAAAGGACAGTTTATAAGTTCTGAATGGTCGAGTGCATGCTATAGTGATAAAAGTGTAGCAGAGTATCCAAAACCCAAAAAAATACATGTCGGACAAACAGAAGCATGAACTCTTTGGTTGGACACACCTCGATAAATGCCCACCCGGCCCCCTTAACCCTAAAAGATTTGAAAGCACATGACGTGGATGGGGAATTAACCAGCAAAGTACCTTCACGTTTGCGGGCTTCCTCCTCCTCCTGCAACCTCTTTTGTCGCTCCTCCTCAGATCGCAGGAAGAATATCATTTTCCTCCTAGCTTCCCTCTCCTGCTTCCTTGATTGAATTATCTGGCTGATCCTTTCCTGTCTCTCCC